CCCCTCCACACACACCGCACTGACAGTCCCCAAGCCCTGGACCTCCAGCCTCCACCCCATGCAGACTTACCTGAATGCAGTTGCTGGGGCTGGTCCTACCACCATGTGATGTCTCTGCCTCCAATCACCCTCCCTGGCTCCCTGCAAACAGCTCCTTGCTAGGGGAAGCCGAGAAATGTCAGAAATAACTTCAATGTTGAGCAGAGCAAAATCCCAGGCATTTTTTAATATTTTAAAAAACCGCACAGATGAAAATGGAAGGACCCAGAAAGAAGACATGTTCAGCAAAACCCTATGGTAACCCTACATGTTGGTCAAGCAATTAACAATCTGATCCACACTTCCCCGTGGTTCAGGGGGACTCAGTCCTCCAGAGGCTGAGGATGACTGAGCATATCTTTCCAGTGGTTGGCCCAGAACAAAAGCTTCTCTGACAGTATGAGAAGCAGCTACTACCAAGTATCTCTTGTAACTGTTATGCCCCTGTTTCTGGGCACTTTTAGCTGAGTTATTTTACTCTGCACTTCATGCACATGTGAAATCTCAGTTAAAATGCATATCTCTCCAACAGCTTATTTCCTTTTCTTTGGATCAACAACATCACATCATCCAACATGGAGCAGGAGTTACATTTGTAGACAGTATCTGCTTGCCTTGCATCAGAAAACCAAAAAATCTGCAGCCTCAAACTGGCTAGCTATGGCAGAAGCCTTTCAAAAAAGGAAATTCTTTTGGTGCTCTTCCATGCAGGCTTAACAGGGGTTGTTTGATACATGCGCTCCCTCTCAAGTAGCCAATAACTACTATGCCACATATACTAAATTAATTTATAGCAGTGGTCATCAGCTTTTCCAGACTGAGGCCAGAGTGACCCACCTTGGGCCAGAGGTGGGCAAGTAAGCTCTAAGACCAGGCTGCCGCTGATGCTTCTTTCTGCCACAGTAAAAGGGAAGTGCTTACTGCTGCTGTGTCTCCCGGTTGTGGCACGGGGAGGGTGCCCACCAATGAATGCTGCCAAAGCCTCCTGCCACTGAACACCATCGAAGCTCAATGTCTAGGGGCTGGATCCAGTGGCTCTGAGGGCTGGATAACTTTCTGACCCCATTTATAGTGACTTTCTCTTGTGAAGCTTCAGAGCAGAGGCCTGGAGCAAACTGATAATGCAGCTTTGTGCTCCCTCTCATTCCATCGATACGTGGAACAGCCTGGTTCAGAAGATGCTCTAGGGTGTAAATGTGAACATCAGTGTTGTTGTAAGACTTCAATTTCCTGTGAGGGGACTTAATATGTGTCAGGCCTCTACTGGAGGGCCTCCTCTAGTGCTACCATCACGCCTTCCCAAGTGCTTTTCTCCTCCTCTAAGATGTTTTCATGTAACACAAAAGCCTGGCACTTAGCTACATTGGCATGATGTTATCTCCATCAGAAATAGTTTCAAGTATAAACATTCATCTGAGTCATCCTTCTAAATGTAGAAATCCATAGCAGAACTGTGCACCTCAGACAAAGTCATTTTAACAGGCTTCTAGCTTTGTTGGAGACACAGAGAATGAGAAGCAGCCCTTTACACACACAGCACAGGCCTCCTACCCTCCACCAACTCCCTGCTACAGAGGTCTGAGACATTTTAACTTCCCAAAGCTTGTTCAGCTTTGTTGACCTTAACATAAATTACTGAAATGCTCCAAGGACAGTGGTAAGCAAGTGCTCCTTAGCATCAGTATCAATTCTCCTTTCTATTATTAACAGCATTAAGTCTAAACATTTCAGTAGTGGGTCACAATTGTTGATACCTTGTTCGTTTGAGTGTCTAATTTGAGGCACCTTCAAGGGAGTTGATTTTTAGCAAATGCTGAACCCATACTCCTTGGAAAATCAGGGCCTTTTTGGCTGTCTCAAGTTGTGGCGTGGCAACAAAGAGATGGAAGTATCTTGATAGGGCTCTAGAGGCATGAGTTCAAGGCTTATTCTGTAACTGGGGTTGAAGGCTGCCACTCAGGGTCATTCAAACTGGGAAGTCACAGGTTAACCACTGGCTCTGCAAAATGACATGCCTTCTCTGTATAGGCCCAGATGGCTGTTAAGCTTGGGTAGATTTTTCCCTTAGGATGCCTCAAGCCAACCTCTTAAAAAGGAAAGCCTGGATTCTTAGCCGAGATACTTTAAAATGCCATATTTACTCAGGTTCCATGGCATCGTACAATGCATTTGAATAATCTAATCATTCCAAAATGTATTCAAAGTACCAGGAATGAATCATGTTACAGCCTGAGCCTTTAGGATACTCAAGCTGGAATCAAATGCAAAGCCCATCAATCTGATATTTCATGGACACCTGCACTCTGTCTCTTCATATAAGCATTCTGGCTTCTGGAGGCATAAATCTTAAGACCTTTCATGCACCGTAGGCTTGTTTAATTATGCAAAGTAAAATCTCTTCAGAGATCTATTGAAAAAGCTGAAGAACTGTGTACTTCTGTGATAGGTTCTACCAGCTGTTTTCTCTACAGTGAAGAGCAACATTATTTTCAATCACTAGGTGGAGATATTGTTTCATTTATTACTGCAGAAATCTCCCATTGACAGTATGAAAACATGGCAGGGTTTATGGTAAAGCTGAAAATGGACTTACCTAATAATAATAAGATGTAGCACAAAAACTGAGTTTCTTGGAGGCTTTAACAGAATATAAGCAGAGGATAGGAACACAGAAGTACCATCCTTCCTTCCCATGCATCTCTTTTAAAACAGATGTTCATGTATATTTTCTGTGTTATGGATAAATCTACTGTATTTATCAGAAAACAGAAACCTCTGAAATGCTAATTGTTTGGCACATGAAGTGTATGCTGTTAATGCAAATCACACACATTTAGGCTCATTCTGATTTTTGAAGTCTGATTTTTGTCAGTGGACTCTGGGGCACAGCTAAATGCCTGCTTGGCATAGATACCCTTCCATTAGCAGCTTCTTTAGAACAAGTTATTGGCAAGGTTTAGGAAGAAGCAGTTTTATTCTTTTTACAGGTATTCCTTTAGGAGAGCTCGTGGAATTTGGGTAGCTTCTGCATTGCAAATGAATTGATTCCTTTAAGAATTATGTACTGTGAGTGACTTTGTATGAAAATTCTCCCTCCTGCACTCCCCTCCACACAGAGTCCTTTTTGATTTTAGGAAGCATATCTTTAGGGAATCCAACAGTCCAGTACTCTCACAGCTTAGTGTTAGTCTTTGGAGAGTATGCCCTTTCCTCAGACCTGCTCAACAATACTGTCACTTCTCCTTCCTTTTTCACCTGTACCTCCACATTAAATGAGACATTTGTATCCTGACATTTTGCATGTTCCTGTCATCATGCAGAAAATCATGCAAATGAAGATCAAGCTGTAAGTGAAACCACGGTGTGAATCAGTCACACCACTGTCATTTACTCTTAAGTCAGAGGCTGGGTGCTGAGAGTATGCATCAAAGCTATTCTAAGCCAGGTTGTTCAAATGTTCTTTTCTGTGATGCCCACAGCATCAACGAGTATAAGAAAGCAGACGTACTGTACTGTCAGAAGAGACCAGTGCCTGGGATAAAATGTGAAAAGAAAACCAGTAGGTAGTCATGTGCTTGTAATCAATGATTTGTCCATTAATCTCCTGCTAACCATCTCCTGACAAAAAGGCAGCATGTTCAGACCAATAAAACCAGCTCCATGACTCTGTCTTCAGCATACTAGATTTTATTCCTGCTGCTAGTAATTTGTAGGGGCATTTTCCTCTATCATCTTTCTTACAGATGAAAGGC